AAAATTAATTTTATAAAATACTTTACATCCCAAATATATCATAAATATAAATACATTATAATGCATATTCTAAAATAAATAATTGAGCTCATTGGACTCGGTTCATGGCCTGCTAAATTAACGTTAAATTCTAGCCAACATGCCTCGCTAGTTCAAGTAGAACTGAAAACCACTCTAACGTTCAAGATGCCCGGTGGGCATATCAAATTAACTATCTGATAATTATATTTTCAGTCGCAGCCGGTAAGGCCCGTGAAGCCCGAAGAGGTCTCCAAATTGGTTCTTCCACAGGTCGGTTCTTACAACTGTGAATGTGAAGTTGCCCTCCGCCGCGAAGTGCGTTTCGTTTCTGTGTCCAGTCAACAGTTGATTTCTAACAACGACTCCTTCGCTCGTTCGTCACCAAAAGCAAAATCCCCGTCGTTCCTTCCGCCCATCTCGAAATTCCGTACCTCCGTTCTATTCTGATAGTTTATAGGGCGATTCGTATCCCCGCATATTAGGTCTGCTTTGCCCTAATAGCAAAAGATGAGATAATTCTCTTCTGCTGAGAGCGAAGTTCGTTTTTTCCATTTCTTTGGGAGCTATGCTCGTCTTTGGGTTGAGGTGAGGAAGGTTTCGAGCAGGACGAATTCTCTATGGCGGAAACAAGGCGGCTTTCTCGTCAATTTGGTAAGAAATAGAGTTTTCCCTTTAGTGATTTTGGTTATTGTTATATTATCAGCGTTGGTTAGACTTCATGGCAGAAGTATTTATATTTTTTCTGTTATGATATATCACCCGATGTTCGGGGAAAACTGTTAAATAGTCATACTAACTATAAGATTTAAACTTGGCGAGCTTTTCACGGATATCGTTGTTTCTTCCTGCTTTGTAAGCTGACCTAAGGAAAAATATTTCTATTAAAAAAATGAAAGCGTAAAAGATTAAAAATTGCCGTTATTTAAGCTGAACTTGGACTGTTTCCAATGAATCATCCTAGAGAATTGCTGTGTCTTATAGGCTTAAGAGACCATGGTCCCAAATATTACACCCTTGAACACTTGAGGGATTTGTCATGAATTTCTAAAATCATCCTTTTAGTTTCATATATAGAATATGGTGAGAAAAACCCCTTTATCCAAAATTTAAAGTGCAAACTAGTGATGTAAATTCTGGAGTTTATCTAGATTGTTCTATGCGTGTTAAACAATATAATATATGTCCAAATCACATATACTTTTGCTGTGAATAATATCATGTTCAATCTATTTGTCTCCCTATAATCACCATCATCATTTGCCTCATCCCAACTATTTGTGCTTGGCTTTATGAATCCTTATTTACCTTTTATTCTTGCTTATTTGGGTGCTGAGCCTATTGTTCTTTAGCCAATTTGAACAATAATTTTCATGGTTCATTGCATCCCCCATTTTAATCATGTTGAATACTTTTGAAGAATGTAAAATGATAATGATCATATTAAACTATATTGGAGGAACAATAATCCTATGTCCACCCATTTTTTTTCCCTAATCTTTTAACACAATTTTTATTAGCTTGTCCACTAAGCACATTTTCTATCCAAACCACCATAGTCCTTATAAATTAATAAACTTATTTTAATCATGTTGAATTCTTTTGAAGAATGTAAAATGATAATCATCATATTAAACTATATTGGAGGAACACAATTTTCACGGATATAACAATTTTTTCAAGGATTATATATTTATGCAAGTTGTTAACTTAATAAAATAACATAAAATATCAACTTCAATAAATATACTTTAAGAAAATAAAACAAAATCAACTTTTGTTTGGATTGATCACTTACAAAAAAACTACACAATAAATAAGAAAAAAAAAAACTTTTTAGCTTTTCACAGATAGAGAGACAGGGAGACTCACGTATGAGATAGATAGAACACTTGCGAGCAACTTGCGGGAGAACAATAACTCTGTGATTGCGACTTGTGGGAGAACAATCAGAGCGAGAGAGGATTTGTGAGAGAGATAGGTCTTTAGGGTTTTATATGTATTATATATGTAAATTAACTTACCTAAAATAACTATATATATATTCTGCGCAAGCTAGTGGGGGCACATGCCCCCAGCGCCCGACCTTGCCTCCGCCCCTGAGTAGATGGAAGATAGACATCCATTATAACATGATGATTCTCAACGAGGATCCAATACTTTCAAATGTTTTCAATCATACAAGTAATGTGTTTTCATGGATGCTATATATCAATCTTAAATACAATTGTTAATAAAATGCTTAATGATAGATACTCTATTTCAAAGGAAGAGATAAACAACATGGATTTTTCTATGTAGGAATGAAGTGCGCACTATCAACATGATATACAACAACATGCTTTATAGACTATGATAATCATAGCTAGACTGAATATGTAATATACATGTACAAGCCCAACACAAATGCAAGATAACTTGTGTATATTATTAAGTCCAAAACTATATTATTTAATTGCTTAAAAATTATTATTTTCATTGATTTTAACCTTCACTTCTCTCGATCATAGCAAACTCTAAATTGGAGGCTTAAAGAAAACCTAGTAATAATAAAACTATAAGTATGCAAATGAATTCCTTAGAAGGCTTTATTGATATAAGTATAACCGAAGACACATGCAAGATAATTTGTGTATATTGTTAAGTTCAAAACTACATTCCTTAATAGTTTAAAAAACAAAATTTTTATTGAGTTCAACCTTCACTCATCCCTTTTGATGATAACAAACCCTAAAGTAGAGGCTTCAAAAAACCATATTAATAAGTATGCAAATAAATACATTAGGAGACTTTCTAGATATAAGTATAAACCATCACTCCATCGTACTCTTATTAATCACCTACTTAATCCTAATTAAAGGATTGCACATCTTTAAACCAACACATATATGCTTCTCTATCACTCAATTTGATAATGAATACTTTATGATTTACAAGCATAGGCTTATCAAAAGTAAGTATATATATATTACAAGTTTATGAAAAATTTCTCTCGAAATAGAAGAGTCATATTCTACTCCTAAAACATTACCACCTTTAAATGCAAAAGAAACACCGTCCATCCTCTTTAACATCATTAAAATTAGTAGCATGCACTATTTCATTATTTTTTACATTCATTTAATCATCGATTGGATGCATACAAAATTTCATAATGGATGACTTTAACTACATGATAAGATCTTTGCAATTTCAAAATACATATATTTTCAAATGGTTTGTAATCAAATTTATGAGTTATGAATGACTTCTTGCTTATATTGGATTGTTTTGATTGGTGAAATACATGAATAACTTTAGAATTTTAAATGGGTTTTTTTTACTTCGTTCGATCATCTTAATGTTTTTCATATTCTTAATGAATTTTTAAGCAATCATAAAAATTAATTAAACTCAATCTATATATAATTCTTATAAGCGGGACAAGATCGAGTTGACTATAATATTTTTGTCACAACCTGGCTCGAAGACTCAAATTAACGAGGGGGGAACAAATGATTTTCATGTCTAAATGTACTCATGTCTAAATATATTCATTTCATTCACAATTTATGTATCATTCAATAACTTACTATAGTATATATGGTAATTAATTGAAGCATAATATGATAACTATCACCTATTTCAATGTGACTAATCATTGCAATTTTAAAGATAAAATCATGATTGAATTTATAATAATAATAATAATTAATTAAGCTAGTATCAATATCATTAGATGCATTTGGCTTAGAAGAAACAGCATCGTTGTCATAAATTAGAAATTTGAGTACTCACCTCAATTTCAAAGGACTTATTAATTCACTTTAATCCTACTCTGTTGTTGTTCGCTTGACACCATTATGTATAAGAGTTTCTTATTATTCATCGCTTGAAATGCAATTTGACTCAAGGTTGTTTAATCAAGATTAAAAAATGTTATCGACTTCTTTTGCTTCTTTGGCTAATCTGATTTTTTTGTCTAACCTCAGATATTGAACAACTACTTCTGGAAGCACAACAACGGTGGTTGCGGCCTGTAGAAATTTGTGAAATCCTTCAGAACTTTAGGGCATTTCGTATAGCCCCAGAGCCTCCACAGAAGCCTCCAAGTCTGATGTCCAAACTCTTTTTGTTTCATTCTCTTAACGATGGCTGTGTCTTTGAGCTTTTTTCTGAATGCACTTGCTGCTTCTGTCATCCGCTTTTAACTTTCAAATCTTCCAAACATTTATAAAATTTGTTGTTGCTTGGGTTATGTTTCCATATTTTGATGATGTTAATTTTAGTGGAACTCAAAATTTTACTAAATTCGATCCTAAAGTTTGCTGTTTATTTTGTTAGCTGTGAAGGTAGCTTTGTTCTTATATTTTTCTGAAATAACTAGTAAGGTTTTGTCACTTTTTGTTTATTTTTCTGTAATATGTCACTCAATCTTTAAGTAACACTATCTTTATTATTTTTTACTTCGATATCATCACTTGACGATCTTATCCCAACTACTTTGCTGTTTGGGGTTGGCATTATGAATATGCATTCTCCATTCATCCATCCCATATCAACTTCTTTATTTGATTTTTTTTTAATTTCGCTCTATTATTGTAGCCATGGAGTTTGCTTTGTTTTCTTTATTTTTTTTTTCAGACCCATACCCCAACCCCATTCATTTAGTGTGCCCCTTGTTCTGTTTCGCATATTGAATCTGCTGTTCATAGCTGCTTGTGCTGGCCTGTCGAACTCCTAGGCTCATGAAGCACCAAAAAAGTTGGTACATGGATGGTGGCAAGTGCAATGATCTAACCGTTATTTCTTGATTGATTATGCCTGGGGATCAAGTGCTCGGATGAGGTTTTTTGCTTTGGGGGGAGGCGAGGGCATGTGGGGAGATAGCCCAGAGGTTTGAGGGGATGGAACCGGAAGCTAAGGAGATAGGAGCGATTGCTGGTCTGATGAGAGTAAAGACAATAATTTTACATAGCAACCATCAACGAGTTCAATATTCAAAATCAAGTATTCCCTAATACAAGCATGAAAATCCCTTATATAAAAAAGTAGGGCTCTTAAACTACTAGAACATCCACAGGAAATAAAGTTAAGACCATGATTTTGACATGCATTAACTAAAAAAATTCAACATATAACTATTTTGCTTTCTAACAGGTCAGTCAGAGACTTGTAGGCCTATTAATGCCATGTTCACTAGCATCAGTAAAGCTTTCCTCTTGAACTTTGTCATAGGAGCTTCTAGTTTCAGGAGAATGGATTACAACTCATTGCAATACTGACAGGGCTAACACACGTATTTAATCGAATGCCCTGTGGTTTAGATTAAAGAAATACCTGAAGTGAGAAAGATAGGGTAGAGTCTTCTTTTTGATTCTTTGTGATAACAAAATACTGTATTTTGGATACTCTAGTTTTCTGTTTTGCATTTTTTTTAACGTTGCATGACTTTGTGCTAGATTTAAGTGAGATGAAGTTTGGCTACTTGGTGTTGACCTGTAAACTGTCAAAGAACATACTCAACCGCCCCCCACTTACCCACGTTGGGGGAAACTGCAGCACGCCATCCTTCACCACCACATTGAAGCAACCGTTGCTTCAATAGATTATTTAAAAAAAAAAAAAAAACGAATGAAGGGAAGGTACGCGGACGAATACTCACAGACATTGAGGCTTTTTGCTCTCTGCCTTTCTCTGGTTTCTCCCAAGCGAACCACCTCCGACACTCCAATCTGCTCTGCTCACGAACAAGTTTGCTCCAATCGGCCCACACACGGACGCTTCTTGATCTTACAGCCGGACTCGAGCACCTTCTGCCACGTCTACGATCAAATCGCGGCACACAACACCGCCTCCTTTCCGGTTTCTTCTCCGTCTGGTCCTGCTGAGCCACACGGACCCTCCGCCATCGATTCCACTCGAACGGACCTCCTTGTCTTCCTCTGCAGACCTGAATGGAACCAGCACCTGACGTCAAGCAAGCCTCACCTACGACTGACCTATTCTCTCACAAGCCTCACTTGTGACCGGCCTAGACTCCTGCAAGTCTCCGAGCTCGTCTGTCTGAGCCCCTACGTGCACGGATTGCGCCTCTTTGCCTGATCGCCTATATTTGTAATTCTGCTTTCTTGAAATAGGGGAGAAGAAGGCTATTAATAGTAATTACTATTAAATATTATCTATTACCTTCTAAATAATAGCGATATATACATAAATATGTATACAAAAAAATAATAGCGAAATCAAAAGCACTCAATTTCGGCATAATCAGATGTTGCAATCATCAATCAGAGCTTTAAAACACAATTTACAGGACCAAACAATGTCCCGAAATCTTCGGCCATTGATTATCTTTCTGGCTGGGCAGACTAAAAGGGTGAGTGCCCTCCCCTACCTCCACTCGCGGGGATGGGATGTTGAAATGTTGTTGAAATTTCGCCAGAAAATTACTGGACTTGCAAATTTGAGAGCTTTAGTAACCAATTGAATAATTATCCTAACCAATTTAAAACTATTTAACTAAATTAAATAACTCACTAATTAAATAATCTTAGCTAAGATTGAAATTCCATTCAACATAATTGTAATCAGAAAACTTAAATTAACTAAAATTCAATTGAAATATTTACCTAATTAATTAATTAATTGATTTAAAATTATAACAACAACTTAAATCAGAAAAAGAAAAAAACAACAACAAACAAAGACTCAAAAAAATATTAAACTTCAAGTTCATTAATATCTTATTAAATAAAAGAATCAATTAAAATCCAAATTTAAGTAAACTTAAAATCCATTTAAAATTTTAAACAATTAATTTTGAGCTAAACTAAAAAAAAAAGATGACTTAAGTTTAATTCAATAAAATCGGAATTTTAAAATTTATTTGAAACATAAATTTAATTCAAATTAACACTTTTAAAATAATTAATTGGTCAGGCAATTTATTAATCTAAAAAAATAATAATTAAACCTTAACCACTTAAATGAGTAAATCAATTTAATTTAGATAACTACATAATTTTAAAATACATTTTAATATTTAAATTTTAAATTAATATACTGAGCAAATCAAACTTAACATAATTAAATAATTTTAAAATACATTAGAAATTCAAATTAATGAGTTGAACAATTAAATAAAAAAAAAAAATGCAAGAAATAAATGTTTTCCACTATGCAACCTAAGTATAAGCTACTAAGCAGCTCTCAAATACATGCTCTCCAACAGCACTTTAATAAAGCTCTGAGCAAATAACTCTCCAAACCCCTGGTGAGCTCGAGCTCCTGGCAAAGATTGCAACTACAAGCTCTAGCCTCTCCAACTGCAAGACCTAGCTCCTGTGGCTACAAGCCCCAACTATTGTAATTGTTGGCTACAAGCACTTGCAAATAAATAGACAAAAAAAAGCTCATAATACATAAAATTAATGCAGAAAAGTAAAACTAGCAAGTAAAGCTAATTACTACAGGTATAACAAAAGTGCTGGAAGATGTGTAAAGAGCAAACAACAGTGCTAAAGTAGAACAACAAACTACTGTAGTAGGAGAAACTACGAGCACAAAACTACAAAATACTAATGTTGGTGTTAAGGTCCTGAAGTGTGTAAAGCCCTAAACCCCGAACACACCAGCCACTTTCAATGAAAGCCGTAAGTCCGAATTTAGAGTAAATCTTTAGGAAAAAATAACCTAACCTCTAATCCCTAATTAACACATCGACAACTTTTAGTAGAAGTCGTAAGTCCAACATTTGAGGGAAATGTTTAGGTAACAACATAACCGTAGATCCCTCACAAGGGCAGCCTCATTTATAAAAACTAGGTTATAAGACCCACTACACATGCCGCTTAACTTACAGTGCTAGGTCGTAAGACCCGTTGTCAGACAATTTCTAAATTCAGAAGTCATAAAAATCAATCTAAACATTCCAAACCCCTAGGCATCTTAGGCTATAGGGCTAAGTTATAAGACTCGCTATTAGAGCTACTTTCAAATGAAAGATGTAAGCCTCTACCCAAATCCAATCACACGTGCATCTTAAGCTATAGAGCTAAGTTATAAGACCCGCTATTAGGGTTACTTTCAAATGAAAGTTATAAGCCCCTATCCAAATTCAATCACACGGGCAACTCTTAAGCATAGCCATAAGCCCCAACTCAAACAAAATTAAACTAAAATTCATATTTCTTTATTTTAGTTTAGGATCTCTAAGAGGAGGCAACTCATGGTTGCTAATCAGATTTCCTGGACACTACAATCAATGATTGTTAGTGTTGGTAGACTGAAACCCACAATATACTCAGGATAATAGAACCATGGGATTTTGATCGAGTGTACTTTCATCCCCCCAAAACTAAGATTAAAACATTGTTGCACATTTCCACACACTTTGCACAGACTAAATATATTTCATCCTTAATTGAGATTGCTCTTCTAATGCGATAGGAGGGATAATTAACTATGAGGGCTTGTGCTCATAGGAAGTAGGACCTAGATCTAAATAAACCCTAACATTACTGATGAGGACATCAGATTTTGTCACGTGTACCATCGCCGGAGATGCAGATCGACGGCTACTATTCAGAGCCTCTTTTTCTGATTTAGTTGTATTTTATTTATGTTTGTATTTCTATTTTTCTAGTTGCCCATGTGGGCATTGAGTCACTAATGTAGCCCTGAGTGCATTTGTGTCATTTCAGTTTTATTTTTATATTGGCCTATTTATAAGAGGCCTCATGCAATGTATGGGGATTGATGAATTATTGAATGAAAAAGTTTATTCCGCTTGGTGATCTCTTAGTGAGTTCCTTGGAGGAGAAAGATCTCTTTGCGAGTTCTAAGTTTTTCCCAAGATTTCTTTGTGAGATTTGAGGTGGAAGCACTTGAGGTGAGTGAATCCTTGGCTCTTCAAATTTCTTATCTTTTTTTTTCCCTTGAAGTGAATTTCCCCCTCCCCATAAGCCATTGTCGCCGTCCCCATTGGGCCTCCCAAGCCGCCGGCCTCCCTCCTTGGGATTTTGTTAGACCGGTCCACTGGACCGGTCCACTGGACCGGTCCAGCCGGTCCAGTCGGGACCGGTTCACGGACGAAAATCGAGAACAGGCG